GCAGGGGTGCAGCCCTGGCCTCCCGGGCTGCTCCTGTCTGTGACGCTGGCTGTATTACCACTGCCATGCCTCCCTTTACGCCTGCCTGTTTTGTCAGCTTTGTGGTCCCAACTTCCTGGTCACTCTGTAAGCTCTCCAACAGCCTTTCAATGCACTCTTTTTCCTGCCTAAATCAGCCACTTTCTGTTACTTGCAACTAAGAACCCTGATGATGACGGCAGAGGCCCTGTTTGTCGAGCTCAACAAGCAAAATGGTTTTGTGACATAATTTGTCTGTGTGCTTCCCCTATAGCCTGGAAGGTCCTCAAAGCAGCCAGCGCTACTCAATCATCTCTGTGTCTCCAGGTTAAGTGCTGGGAAAACATGCAACTAAGAACCCAGATGATCACAGTAGAGGCCGTGTTTGTCGAGTTCAACACGCCAAAAGGTTTCGTAACATAATTTGTCCGCGTGCTTCTCCCATAGCCTGGAAGGTCCTCAAAGCAGCCAGCTTTACGCAATCATCTCTGAAAAAAAAGGTTACTTTTTGGGAAAACATGCAACTAAGAACCCAGATGATCACAGTAGAGGCCGTGTTTGTCGAGTTCAACATGCCAAAAGGTTTCGTAACATAATTTGTCCGCGTGCTTCTCCCATAGCCTGGAAGGTCCTCAAAGCAGCCAGCGCTACTCAATCATCTCTGTGTCCGCAGGTAAGTAAGTGCTGGGACAAAAGGAATGAATGGACTGGGCTGAAGAGCATGAGTTTTACCCAGGTGGGCACCGGTTCATCCAGCCACTTGACGGAGCACAGCCCTTAGGAGGAATAAGACATGGTTCCAGCGTTCAGGGCCTCTCCGGTTGGGGGGCGGGGGGGGGGGCGGTGAGGGATGACGAAAGACAGGAATACGCATTTTTTACAACACCAGGTGTCAAGTCCGGTAGCAAAGATACCCACAGAACAGAAGGCAGCGGATTCCCTGACCTGGGTCAGAGACAGCTGCTCCGAGGTCTGAACAGAATGGGTTCTGTGAGGATGCCCCTAAGTCAGTGGGCGAGAGGCAGCCGGAGCAGGGCAGAACGAGCATCTTGTGGGAAGGATAGGAGGACAGGAGGGAGCCACGGCGGCCTGGGGGCAGGGTTCCCTGGGGGCACCGTTGCTGGGGTGGCAGCGCTCAGTAGGGGGCCAGCACGGGGCGCGAGGGCGAGGAGGGCTTGCCCAGGAGGCACGTAGTAAAGATAAGCCGTAATCTTACGGGTTAGGGCTGCGTGCCCGGCCTCCTGGTCCGTGGGGTGGTCACCACGTCGCAGGGGCCGTGCGGGGAGCACTGACCTGCAGGCGGGCCACGCAGCAGAACGCGGCCGAGGGGTTTCGGAGTTGGATCCGCTTGGTCAGCAGGTTGCTGCCATAGGCGAAGTACAGAAAGCTCTCCTCTTCCTGGCCCCGCAGGTCCTCGCAGCCCGAGCTCGCCATGACGCGCCAGGCGCCCCGCGTCCGCAGCAGGGGTCGGAGGCGAGGACGCGACAGCAGCGCGGCCCCGGGCGACCCCAGCTCAGCGGCCGCCCCCGGAGTTAGGGAGAAAGGTGGGAAGTGTGGGCCGGGCGATTTGGGAGCGAGCGCTCTTCTGATTGGCTGTCGGTCCCAACGATGCCAGTCGCCCCTGCTGATTGGCCAGACCCACCGCCCGCGATCCACTTTCCTCTTGGACTCGGAAATGCTCAGTCCGGCGGCGACCGGGGTCTGGTTCCTCATTGGACACGCCTTCTCTTGTCCCGCCTCCGTGGTCAAGGCCGCCTCTGATTGGCGAGCGGTCGGGCGCTACGCGGAGTCAGGTCAGGTCGCGTGGGCTCGGTTTGGCGGTCGCGGCGCGGGTCAGCACCAGGTTTCTCCCTCTCGGGCGTGGGCCAGGGCGGTGGGGGCGCGCGTGTGGGTGGAGGCAGTGTGTGCGCCCCAGGGAGTTCCGGGCAGGTCTGGGGCGAAACAGCGGCCCTGGTTCGGCAGTTTCCTCACCCGCCGCTCGCCTCCGGCCCGGTTTGGATGAGTCGGTCAGGGCGGGTCTGTTCACCCCGCGCCGTTTCCCGCACCCCCAGCCCTGATGGTCTCCCCAATGCCTCTTCTAGGGACCCTCTGCCTCCGGGAGGAGTCCCTCTGAGCGTCCCGGACTCCCTTCCCTGGCGGAAGTGCTGTGCCGGTTCCAATTCCGACGCTGCCGGTCGGCGTAAGTATTGCCATTAAGTGCACAAACCCCCCGGGTACAATAAGATATGAAAGTATTGAAACAATGGACTAAAACCCTATCTCGCTAACTCTGAAGTGAAGGGATTACTATGACCTCCGGGCCTAGAAGCGAGTCTTCGGCACCCAGATTTGGACCCCTAAATGCCATTCTCCACCAAAGGTACCGGGGCGCCATGGAGAAGGGGCTGGGGCCCGGTCAGGATCTGGGAGTGAGTGAGTTCTTGGACTGTCTCCTGACAGAAAGTCGGGAAGTATCCAAGAAGAAAGAGGTTCTTTTATTATTTTCATTTTAAATATATCTTTATTGATTTCAGAGAGGAAGGGAGAGGGAGAGAGAGAAACATCAGTGATGAGAGAGAATCATTGATGGCTGCCCCTTGCACGTCCCCCACTGGGGATCGAGCCCGCAACCCGGACATGTGCCCTTGACCAGAATCAAACCTGGGACCCTTCAGTCTGCAGCCTGGTGCTCTATCCACTGAACCATACCAGCCAGGGCGAAAAAGAGGTTCTTTTAAAAGGACTCGGGAGCCAGCTTGATGGAATGAATGCCCACTGGCCACAGTTAGAACAATTTTTTAAAAAATATATTTTATTGATTTTTTACAGAGAGGAAGGGAGAGGGATAGAGAGTTAGAAACATCGATGGGAGAGAAACATCGATCAGCTGCCTCCTGCACACCCCCTATTGGGGATGTGCTCGCAACCAAGGTACATACATGCCCTTGACCAGAATGGAACCTGGGACCCTTGAGGCCGCAGGCCTACGCTCTATCCGTTGAGTCAAACCGGTTAGGGCCAGTTAGAACAATTTGAGGGTCAAAAAGAATGACTGCAGTTGGTTGAAAATGTCAAACGTGTAAAAGACATTTACTGGAAAAAGTGAGCCAAATCTAAAAAAAAAAAAAAAAACCAATAATTTCTAGAAACCCCTGTTTGCCATGTTACGTGTGGTGACTATTACACCAGCTCTTTACTCTGAAAAGCGGTAAGTGGAGAAAATAAACATTTATCCTGCCTTTCTAGTTGCACGTGAATTTCAGAGTCATCAGACAGCCCCAGTTGATGTGCAAAGCGCTGTTAATGAAACCATTTGGTGCAAGGGTGATAGGGAACAGAATGTTAACCTGTGCACGATTATTCCCCAGGGATTACTTGCTGGTCATCAGGAGGAAAACAAGGACAGTGGGAAAATGTGGCCTCTCCCATCTTAGCCTAGATGAATCTTACTGGCACGAAACGTGGGCCGTGACATTGTTGTGTCTCCAGCATCATCTGTGAGTATTGTTCCCCCAAATCTTTAACTTCAGCATACTAAAGCAGGAACTACAGGATTGAAGGGAAAAAAAAATGACACCAAGAGGAAATATCTAAAGCAAACGATCGGACATACTGCAGAGCAAATAGCTTAGTCTCTTACATTAAGCCGGTGTCATTTAATGACATTAAGTCCTTCGCTGCTGGTCCAGAACCATGGTGCCCTCGCTGTGGAAGGGGCTGGTGGGCGTCGGCCTCTTCGCTCTAGCCCACGCAGCCTTCTCCGCTGCGCAGCATCGTTCTTACATGCGGTTGACAGAAAAGGAAGACGATTCCCTGCCGATAGATATAGTTCTTCAGATACTTCTGGCTTTTGCAGTTACCTGTTACGGCATAGTTCATATTGCAGGGGAGTTTAAAGACATGGATGCTACTTCAGAACTAAAAAATAAGACATTCGACACTTTAAGGAATCACCCATCGTTTTACGTCTTCAATCATCGTGGTAGAGTCCTGTTCCAGCCTTCGGATACAGCAAATTCTTCGAACCAAGATGCGTTGTCTTCTAACACATCCTTGAAGTTACGAAAACTTGAATCACTGCATCGTTGAGACTTTTACAAATCATAACAACAGGACAGGACACAGAGCTGGAATATTGGCGTTTGGGGTATATAAAACACCTCCCCCCACCAATATGTATCTTGATCTTTCAGACCTAATTTTTTAAAAGTTTATGCCCCTGTTTTTATACTGTTAAATCATTGATGCAGTATAAAATATCTGTGAAATGAGTCTTTGATCTTTCATAGAGTTCTTTCTTTTTTTCATTTAAAACAAATTGGCATCTTTTGTAAAAGTCACTGTTTTGAACACATTTCTTCGAGAGAAAAGAAAAGTTGATGTTTTTGTAATTGTTTTCTCAGATTTCTTTTCCTTTGCACTACAGTTTTAGGACCCTTTTGGAAACAGCTTGACTGCTGCATTTTGCTGCATGAATGATAATAAAACGGTCTTCAGTTCTTAACAAGTGGACTTCTCTGCAGAGATTTTAAAAGGTGACATCAGTTTTTCGTAGGCCCTCTAAAAAGGGGCTCTGCTTCAGGAGTTACTTGCCAGATTTTAATTTATCCCTCACTTCTCACCCCACCCGACTCCCATATACCTTCTAACATCAGCTATCTCGTGGCATCACTTCTCTGGAGTTCTGTGTGTAGTGAGCAATTTTTGTATCAGAAATTCTTTGTCATAACAAATATACTTAACAGATTCAACTTGCTGTAAAGCTATTTGTATTCTCTTCGTTTATCTGTAAAAAATTTCCCTAATTGGTTATGTGGTGTAAGAATGTTGAAGATACACCAAAAGACCCTTTGGGATTTAATTATTCTGCTTATGTAGAAGAAGAATCACTGAGGAAAACTGATTATTTGTCATTAGCCAGTTTAATTTATTCAAATTTTGTTATTTTATTGCATACTATACTAGTGAATTAGTAAAAATAAACTCTTAAAGGAATTGGGCCAAAAATGTTCTAAATACTTGGAACTACTATCTTTAATTGTTTTTTTCATTAATATAATTTAAGAAGTTGTTTTGTGGCTTCTGACTTGTAGCAGGCGTACAGTTTTCCATCTTCATTGTATGTTGCTGAAGATGATACAGAGTAGTACTCTTTTAGAAACTGTAATTTTAGTTTTAGGGAAATTTGGCTAGCCCTTTGATCTGCAGAAAGCTTAACATTCCTTGTTAGAGAACATTTTATTGAATTCTCAGATATGAAAACATTGCTTATGTGGAATTGTATAGATGTAGAGGGAATAACTATGCAGATTTGAAAAGGAAATGAGCTTTAGGCAAGAGTCTCCTGATGCCCTTACACTTGATGGCTTTTTTTCCACTAGAAATTAACCTCAGTGCTTCTGTTCTGCCTGGAAACGCACAGCCCCAAAGCAGGAGATTATTTTGTCATTGGGCTTTTATTTTGTTTAGTTTTGTTTTGCCAACCTAGTCTACCTGTGGAATACTAGCTCTGCTCTCTAAGGAGGACAAAGTTGGAAATCTTCTGATAACCTAGAGTAATTTAGAAGTGAGTTAAAGATGTGAAGTTGGGGGTTAAAAGTGGTGATGATAAAATCAAAACCGTGTGAGAAACAACTCCTTACATAGGTTGTATACCGTCTCCTTGGGGAGGACTAGGTTCCCAAGGGCCTCTTGTTTTCTTCTCTTGGGGCTGTCTTTCTTTCCTAATATGCTTTCAGAACAACTTTATGAAGCTGTAACTCACATTCCTTATAACTCACCCACTTAAAAGGTACAGTTCAGTGGTTTTGTAATATAGTCACTAGTTGTGCAGCTATGACCACAGTCAATTTGAGAACACCCAAAAGAAACTAACCCTTTAGCAGTCATCTCTCATTTCCCCCGACGCTTCCCAGCCCCAAGCAACCACTAACCTACTTTCTCCCTCTCTGATTTGCCTATTCTGGTCCTTTAAATGGATTCATTCAATATCTGGTCTTTCATAACTGGTTTCTTAAAATAATTTTGTTCTATGGAGAGTGAGAACTTCTCATCTTGAGAACTGTGACTGCTGTGAAAGGAAGTAGTTGGTGAAATCAGTAGACGTAAGACGGAGGGTCAAATTTTATTTATAATGCTATGAGACAGTTCATGACTACCTAGGGTAGTCCCAAAAATGTGATGCAAGCTAGCTCCGTCTGCAGTTGACTATTGAAGGCGCTCTAGAATATGGGAAGACTCACTTCTTAATAACCAGGGAACCAGCTACATGCGATGGGCTAATAGCCCAGCTGCACAAGTGCAGATCCGTGAGTCAGGCCATAGTGCCCTGTAATTCTGTTTTTCACACGTCCTCCATCCAAAAATGGCTTCTGTAGTCCAAGCTGGGAAAGACTATGTTGTTCACTTCCTCTTGGAGAGTCCCAGGGTTCATGACCACAGGAAGGAATCTGAGAATACCTGTCATGAACAAACCTGCTGAGCTCGGTTCAATCCTGACTTTCCCAAGCCTTTGGTGTTGGGAAGCATGTTACCGAGCATGTGGGAAAAGTCTTGGTTTTTGAAGGATGATTGTTCAGTTCTTGAAGAACCATATTAACTAAACTCTTAAATTATCCAGAAAATTGAAGACAAGCAATGGTGTCAGCTAGATGTTATTTATTGGTTAATATGATTTAAGAGCCATTTGTTTATGACTTAAATGAAGTTGTTTTAACCCACCTGTCTATGACAAAGACAACACAAAAGTTGTCTTCAGAAGTGACGCTGTTTTAATACAAGAATGGAGCAGGCTGTGTCTGGAAGTCATCATCTCCTCTGTTGATACGCTGTCAGCAGCTCATCTGCTAGGGACCCCGCTGGGGCTTATCAATTACATGTGGAGAAGCAACTATAGCTATAATGGGTTTACCTATAGTCTTTTTTTTATATAGAGTATTTAGATGGTAAATACCGACAATATGCGAGGACTACTGAAGAGTCAGTCTGGGCAAGGCGCACTTTGCTGAGTTAACTCTCTGGAGACCTTGGGGTGTTAGCACCTGTCTTGGTGAGGTGTTGCCTCGCAGACAGTGGTGATAAACCTTGCAGCACCTCTTTGAGGGATCATCCTGCCCACTAACACGTTGCTTAGCAACGTGCTCTGGCAGCAATGGACTTCTCATTTTGTGCTGGCAGCTGGAAGTCAGCTCCAGGTTGGTTAAGGGTGGCCCGCCCCAGTGCCTACTTGTAGAATAGGTCCACTTCAGCTAAATTTGGGCATTATTTCTTTCACCTCCCCTTGCCTGAATAATAGTATAATTAATCTAGCATTGCTTTGGCATATGTTATTTATTATCTTTTTAAGAGACATTATCCTGGATGCTATTTGCTTGTGACATTCCCTCAAAGAACCAGTGTTAAATAAATGGCTGGCAAAGACAAAATTAGTCTCTGAGCATAATTTTACCGCCAAAACAAAACACTAGAGAGAGAAGAATTCCAAATCTTCGTGCTGTTCTGGTGAGTGATATAATCTTTTATCACAAATCCAGTCATTGAAATGTTACCAGGCCGGGAACCTGTCCCTGAGCAGGTCTGCCTAGGGCCAGTGGGTAGTGTGTGATTTCTTGGCTTCATGTAGAAAAGAATTCACAATACAAGCCCAGGTCACTATGAGTGTATGTTGATTAAAGCTGGGGACAGTGAAACAAAGGAAGGCCTGGACTGAAAGAAGCAATAGGAGAGCCCAGGCTGGGCTGCTTTAGTTCACTGGGAAGTCAGAGAAAAGAGGCCTTGGAGACACATTCAGGGGATTAGCCTGGGATGAGCTGCCGCTGCCTGTTGCTCCCCTGGTTGCAAGTCTTCATGGGGTCTCTTAGAGTTTAGGAGGTGCATGCCTGTGGGGGGAAGCAGAGGGGGCAGGGGAAGGCACAGAGGGAGAGCACACACTGGGTCCTTTGTCTTTAGGGTTGTTTTTTTTCTTGCAGGTCTCCGGAGGGTTTCAGCAGAACATCAGTTTTCCATGTGTGCTCTTTCAGGGTCAAGGTCTCTGGTGATTGGTTAGTGCCAGGGCAGGGGACTGCTAGTCATTGCAGCTGCTCCTGCTGCTGCTACTTGGTCTGGGCCTGGAGCTAAAATACAACTGGGGCCTAGATGTTATCTCTAGGGAGGTGACCTGTGTCTGCTTAAGTAAGTTGCTAGGCCAGTTTGCTCAGCTGTCTGTCTCAGTTTTCCCATTCCACTTGTCCTGGCTTACTGGCCTGTTGGAGAAATGTTGCTTGCCTTTGCTGGTTCAATTCCTGATAATCAGGTTGAAACTGCAGTTATGTATAAAAACACCCATCAACCTCTATTAAATGCAATAATGGTTACAAGCTGGTGAAAATACGAATTTGATTGCAAGGCTGAGTGAGAAACAAGTGTGATGGAGTCTAAAATTCTCAAACTGGAAAAGGTTTGGCTCCTTGGTCCTTAGTATTTCCCATCCTCCTTCCTTTGCTCCTTGTTTCCTTTAAGGCTGTCAAAGCAGTTGACGGGGTTGTAGAGCGGGTTAGACGGCTTCATGGAAATGTACCTCATTAGCAGCATTGGTAGCAGCGGCGGGTCTTGTTAGGCTAGTAGTTTCTTAAAATGTTTCAACTTGCTCATTAAAACATTTTCGTGTCAGTATCGATTCATGTTTCCCACTACAAATGAGAAATCTTTTCAAATTCCAATTTGGAGGAATTGGTTGGCTTAGCAAGTTCTACTCTCGTGTAATAGGATTTTCCATGCTGTCATGAAATTAAAAATTGCCTCAGTATACACTGAGTGGCCAGATTATTATGACCACCTCATCATTACAATGAAGTGAATTAGTTATGCAAATAATAATAATAAAACCTTGAGAGTATTTGCTTAGGAAGTTTTCAATATTCAGTATTTTTGGAAGTGTCGATGAAGTACCGATGGATGGGGTGGTCATTTACATGAATATCATTACATGAATTGATAAGGACAAAGTAGATGACTGCCAGTCTGGTTTAGAGTGCACAATATCTGATGGTCTCGAACTAATTCCAGTGAGCAAATAGTAGTCCATATCTATTGTGGAAGCAGGGGTGTTTTCTGGCTTTTCGGCCAGGTGTCAGAGAGGAAGGTTTACAGGTAACAGGGAGATCATTGAAAAAATATATTTATTTATTAAATTGATAGGGGTGACATTGGTCAACATAGACATATAGGCTTCAGGTGTGGGTTTCTATGTTACAAGATCTGTATATTGCACCGTGTGCCCACCCTCCAAAGTCAAATCTTCTGTTATATTAGGACTCCTTCCGAGAGAGATCATTTTTAGGAAGAATTTCTTCCATCTGGCTTAGAAATTATGAGGAATTAAAATATTTCTTAGGATGAAACTGAGAACACATCCTCTTTCTTTCTTGAAATAATTTCATCCACTCTGTCAAAAATTATCTGTTCTGTAGAGTAGTTTTGCATATAACTTTGCCAACCTCATTACCTAGGGAACAAAAGTAAAGATAAACTCAAAAGACTGAAACCCAGCAAAATAGTTGTTAATATTTATATTAGCAAATTAGGACTAGACTAGAATGGAAGGAATCCTGCTAAAAATAGGAACTGTGAGTAGTTTTGGTCTGTCTGTAAAGACTTTTCTTTCTTAACTTTCCTGGAAAATTCTTATTTAAAATTAAATAAATGTTACCTCCTCTCCCAAACCACCCCTAACTTCCAGGTAAATACAGTCTTCTATATTTATAATACTTGATCGATTCCTTTACTATTTCATTTAAACAATTTAATTTTATTTCTTGACAGGGCTTCCTTCCCCTACTAGACCAGGATGATCACAGAGGGCAGGACTTATTGTTCATTCAACAAGTATTTATTGGGTGTTTACCACGCATCAGCTGGCCATTTTGCTACTGCTCAGGACTGAGGAGGAGTCATCTTTTTCTTCCCAGCACATAGTACATACCTGTCCCATTACTGAGCAGGCATTCAGTAATGAGTCGATAAATAATTGCATAACTGAGTGAAAGGATAAATAGATGAATGGCCTCTATTGTGTAAGGTAGAAAAGGTACCCATTTTGCAGTGAGGTTTCAGTTTTCCCAAATCGAAAACAGAGTTAGTGCAGAGAGAAGGTAAGCTCCACAGTGACTCAATTCCTGGTGGGCCTTCGGAGAGCCCAGGGCAGTGCTAGTCTGTGGGTTTCCCTTTTTTGCAATATGCTTGTTGCAGAATACATATAAGGCTTATTGATTTTTCTCTTAACATACTCTCCTCTGATAGTGTGCCCCTCTTCCTCAGTAATGTGCTGGTCTCTATATAGTTGTGGCAAATCATTTTGACAGCAGGGCGTCCTTTTCCAAGGTGAGCCTGAGCCATCCTCAGCTCTGCATTCTCATCAGCAGTTTGCCCACATGGGCGGTGTCAGGCTGGCCCGGATATCATACTAGAGATGAAGGCTCATTACATGGAGTCTGATCTAGTTGTAATAGCAAGTGTGATTTCTGTGGTTGGGTCTGATGTAAAGAGAGGCACAAAAGAAAACCACCGATTTTCCTTGTTTATTCACGGCAACTAGTGAATGCACACATTTACTAGACTTATTCAGTATAAACTTATAATTACAGCAATACAGCCCTAACCGGTTTGGCTCAGTGGATAGAGCGTTGGCCTTTGGATTCAAGGGTCCCAGGTTCGATCCCAGTCAAGGGCATGTACCTTGGTTGTGGGCACATACCCAGTGGGGGGTGTGCAGGAGGCAGATGATAGATGTTTCTCTCTCATCGATGTTTCTAGCTCTCTGTCCCTCTCCCTTCCTCTCTGTAAAAAAATCAATAAAATATATTTAGCCCTAGCTGGTTTGGCTTAGTGGATAGAGTGTCGGCCTGCGGACTGAAGGGTCCTGGGTTCAATTCCAGCCAATGGCACATGCCTGGGTTGTGGGCTCAATCCCCAGTCGGGGGCATGCAGGAGGCAGCTGATCAATGATTCTCTCCCATCATTGATGTTTCTATTTCTCCCTCTCCCTTCCTCTCTGAAATCAATAAAAGAGATACGTTTTAATAAAATGTATTTAAAAAAATTACAGCAATACATATAAAAAACTTCTGTGAAATTAAACTTTTCTACAGACTTAATTTTAATTACACAAGCCTATCTTCATAGGTAAAAACAGGCAAACTAATTTACCAATTTTTTAACATATGCATGTGGAAAACCTATTTTATTATATAATGGACTTTCAGCTTTAACGGACACCCCCTCCCCGAAATAGCCTGAGATCGAGGTTTTACCTATATGAGTATAAAAGAAAACATTCTTGTAAGTATAGGAAAATATTCATAACCGAGTTTTTCCAGCCTTTACCAGGATGTGGGGAGAGTTAGGGAGTCTTGTAGCAGTTATAACTCTTGTCCCTACCTGAGAATGCAAGACTTACAAATCCTTACAAATTTCTTTCCAAGTAATCTCTCCTTCCATCCCAGGCAATGTCTGGGAGCTGATCTTGATGGACACAGTGTCCTAAATCATTATTTCCACCAGGTGGCAGCAGTACACCAACAGCCTTCATGAAGATCACTGAGCCTCAGAGTGTGACCAAGAATTCTTTCCTCCCCTTTACATTACTATTAAGGAGTTCTCAATGAGACGAGGTTTTTTTTGTTCCTCTTAGACCAGCGGTCGCCAACCCGTGGTCCGCAGACCACTGGTGGTCCGTGAGGTCCGAAAGGCTGGCGGCCGCTGCCTTAGACTGTCGAGTTGGTTTTAGGCAGGTTTCCAGAAAGCATTTCACCTGAACTCTACATCACTCATGGCAGGAGGGTATATGGATGGGGTCAGTAAGTCAAGATAAAATCTTTTATTAGCCAAACAAAGACCCAAGGGCCAGAAGGACCTAGAGTATGAATAGATGGTAAAAAAGGAATAGACATTTCCAGAGATGGATCATATTTTAATTTGAAACCCATGGTGGACAGGGTGGCTGCATTTTCCCATGGTAAGGAGTGTAGGGTTAACAGTGCTTACACTGAGCTGTGCTATCATTTGTTTCCTTTGATCTTCAAGTTGAGTGTGACACTTCAGCAAAGAGCTGGCCCAGGAAAAACGCCACTCACTCAAAGATAAGTCATCAGAAAGGAAGCTTCAAACGATCTCTAAAGTATAAGGATCTCTCTTATATATAGTAGTAAATATATAAGCTTAGGAAAGGGACAGGCAAAGCATGTGGCAGGTGCGGAATCATCACCAGGAAAATGCTGTACGATGTCACCCCAAGAAGTTTAATTTAAAAAAGGAATTACATAGCCCAGCCCACGTGGCTCAGTGGTTGAGCATGGACCTATGAACCAGGAAATCAGGGATCAATTTCCCGTCAGGCACATGCCCAGGTTGTGGACTTGATCCCCATTGTGGGGCATGCAGGAGGCAGCCAATCAATGATTCTCTTTCATCATTGATGTTTCTCCTCTCTGAAATCAAATATATATGTCTGTGTGTATATATATAATATATATATGTGGCATAAAAATATTTTAAAAAGGAAAATGCAGCCGAAGAGCAGATGAAAGCTGTCACCAGACAATTGCCAGGCATTTCAAAACAATAAAATGACTGCCTCCTACAAGAGTACAGGAAAAACTGGAAAAATAAAATGAAGAAAAATCGAAATTAGCCCAACACATTACTTTTGTAGTCCCTCTATGCAGAGGGAATTCAGCTTTCCTGGCTGGCCAGCCCACCCCTGGGGCAGGAGGAAGGGAGCGAGGCATCGCAGGGCAGTGGCCTAATCGCGGGCGGCAGGTCAGCCGATGCCAGGCCACGCAGGCGTCCCGCGCTCCAGGATGCTCGTCGCCACACCCCTGCGTTGTCCTGTTCCCCAGCCTGTTATCATCTCTCTGCCCCTCGCCTTTCCTCATCTGTGCTGGTTCAAATCCTGCTCGCCCTGAAGAGTGCCAACCTCCCCAAAGCCCGTCGCTCCTCCTCTACCCCAGCGCTGTCTTGACATGGGCGAGGCATGGGCGTGCGACGTTGGGCGAATCACCTACCTCTCTAGCCTGCTTTCTCCTCTGAGCTCGGGCAGCACTGAATCTAAGTCCCTACGTGACTTGATGTTTGACGACCCTGGAAAGCCCAGGGGGGCGAGAGATGAGACGCAGCGTGTGTTTTCCCGCGGGTCAGCGCGAGTGTCAATGCCGGTGTACACGCGGGACTTGCCTTCTGCATGTCTCGGACGGACTGCGTCCTCGGGTGTCCACCCTCTTGGGGTGGCCTGACGCATCCCGGTGCACAGATGTTCGCCGGGGGCTACCGAGTCCTCCCGGCTCTCCCGACGCCCCAAGTGGACCAGCCCCCTCGGGGCTGAAGGATCCCGGGTCCTTCCGGGTTTCTGTGTCGAATCTGCCGGCGGCGACTCGGCGCCGCGCCTGCGTGTGGAAAGTGCTG